GACCTCTCTGATAATGTTCTAAGGAAGGTAGACGGCCTGGAGACTCCTCTTGCACTATGGGGTAAACTCGAAACACTATATTCTTTGCAATCTGCACCAAATCTTGCATTTTTAAAGGGTGCTTTGTTCTTATATAAAATGGACAGTTCTAAGTCTATTGATCATAATCTAGATGAATTCCTTAAAATGACTTTGATACTGAAAGGTACAGATCAGGAATTAGGGGACACCAGTCTTTCTATGATATTGTTAAGCTCAATAACTGAAGAGTATCAAGTAGTTAAGAATGCTTTGCAGTATACTGGTACAATACCTAGTCTGGATCTAATTATAGCTTGTTTTAAAGCTAGGGAATTAGAGCTGAAAATCCAGAAATGAAATGGTAATCCAGTGTTTCTAAAGGGTAAAATTGAGTCTGGTCAACCTAGTAAAGGTATTCAGCATAACCCTAGTTCAAAGAATAAGAAGAAGGGAAAGGGGAATAATAAGCCTAAAAGAGAAACGAGAAAATGCTTTTATTGTAACAAAACAAGCCACTTAAAGAAAAACTACTTTGAGTGGATTAAAAAACAGAAACAGGGAAACACAGAGAGTAATTTAACCTCAACCAAACATGTCATTGAAGAGTTTGAAGTTCTTACAGTGTCTAAGTCAGACTATGTACAAGATTGGGTATTAGACTTAGGATGTTCTTTTCACATGAGTCCAAATAGAAAATAGTTTCAGGATTATGAAGCATGTGAGTGTGAGACTATTTTCATGGGTAACAACAATGCCTGTAAAGTGAAAGGGATGGGTAGTATAACCTTAAAGCTGAATGATGCGAAGCTAATTAAATTGACTAAGGTTAGGTTTATCCCTGAACTCGAAAGGAATCTGATCTCCTTAGAAACTCTAGACGAGTCTGGCTGTTGTTATAGGGCTGAACATGGTTATCTGAATGTGTATAGAAATAACAACCTTATCTTGAAAGGTGTTAAAATGAATAGGCTCTATATTCTTTGTGGTAAATATTATTCTAACTGTTTCAATTCTGCTCTTGTTTCTACTAACCTTTCTATGACAGAGAAGTGGCACCTCAGAATGGGCCACATGAGTCAGAAGGGGATGAATATCCTCAACCAACAAGGACTGTTTGGTAAGGATACTACAACTACTCTTGACTTCTATGAGAATTGCGTGCTAGGTAAACAACACAGAATGAGTTTCACAAAAGGAACTCACCTTGCCTCAAACTGTTTGGAATACCTCCATTCAGATCTGTGGGGACCTGAAAAGGTCAGGTCCTATGGGGGAAATTGTTATTTCATGTCTATAGTAGATGATTTCAGTAGGAAAGTGTGGGTTTACCTTCTGAAATCTAAAGATGAGGCCTTAACTAAGTTTAAGAGCTATGGAAAATCAAATAGATAAGAGGGTCAAGGCATTAAGAAAAGATAATGACCTAGAATTTTGTAATGCTGAATTTGATCAATTCTATAGTGACCAAGGAATTCTTAGGCATAGGACTGTTAGAATGACTCCTCAGCAAAATGGTGTTGTTGAGAGGATGAACAAGACCTTATTAAAGAAGGCTAGATGTCTCCTATTTACCTCAAGATTACCAAAAACCTTTTGGGGAGAAGCTTTGACTACCGCAGCCTACTTAGTGAATAGAAGCCCCTCTAGTGCCATAGAATTTAAGTGCCCTGATGAGAAATTGTCAGGGAGGATGCCAACCTTGAGCCATTTGAGAGTGTTTGGGTATGCTGCCTATGCATACATAAGTGAAGGCAAGTTAGAACCTAGATCCATTAGGTGTGTTTTCTTGGTATACCAAGAAGGAACCAAGGGGTATAGGCTGTGGAATAAAGAGTCACCAGGGGTAAAAATCATAGTTAGTAGAGATGTGATCTTTAATGAAAATGTTTTTCCATGCAAATCTAATAATAGTGATGCAAGTACCTTTAGTAACAATGAAGAAAATTCTAGTCTAACAAATGTTACTCCAATTGAGGTGGAGCCAACAATACAGCAACCTGATCTGTCACATTTTGAGACTGAATCTGAACCTGAAGCTGCATCAGAACCTGTTGAACCTGCCCAAGAAGCTGAAGATGTAACTGGAGAGATTGAGGAACCTCAACATGTTGACTTGCAATAATACAAGTTAGCAAGGGACAAAACTAAAAAGGATATTAGACCACTTGCAAGATATTCTTATGCGGATTTAATATACATTGCTTTGCTTGCAGGTACTGAAGTCCAGAGGATAGAACCTGATACTTTTGAAGAAGCAATGAGGTCCAAGGACAAAGACAAATGGTGGGCTGCCATGAAAGAAGAGATGTACTCACTTAAGGTAAATGGAACATGGTCTTTGGTCTCCAAACCCCAAGATCATAAACTAATACAGTGTAGGTGGCTGTTTAAACTTAAAGATGGTATGTCTATGCATGATCCTTCTAGGTATAAAGCTAGATTAGTAGCTAAGGGTTATACCCAAAGAGAAGGCATGGACTTTAAGGAGATTTTCTCTCCGGTAGTTAAGTACAAAACCATCAGACTTATGCTATCTTTAGTTGCTCATCAGGATTTAGAATTAGAGCAATTAGAGGTAAAAACATCATTTTTGCATGGTAACTTAGAAGAGGAGATTTTCATGTGCCAGCCTCTTATTTTGTAGATAAAAATCTGCCCAATCATGCATGTTTACTGCATAAGTCTGTATGGTCTAAAACAGTCACGTAGACAGTGGTATAAAAGGTTTGATTCTTTTATAATGAGTGTTAGGTTTATAAGGAGTAAGTATGATAGTTGTTTCTATTTTGCATTGAGTGACAACATGCCAATTTATCTATTGTTGTATGTTGATGATATGCTACTTATTAGCAAATCTAAGTCTAGGATAGATGATTTAAAACAAAACCTCAGTTCTGAATTTGATATAAAGGACTTAGGTGTTACTAAGAAAATACTAAGAATGGTAATAAATAGAAACAGAGCAGGTTGTGAACTTAAAATTCAACAGCAGTCATACTTACAGAAATTGGTTGTTAAATATGGGATGTCTGGCTCAAAGATGGTATCTATGCCTTTAGCTAATCACTTTATGTTAAGTAAATCTAAAAGCCCCAAGTTTGATTCTGAGTTGATTAAAATGGAAAATGTACCTTATTCTAATGCAATAGGTTTAGTTATGTGTGCTATAATTAGTATTAGACTAGACTTGTCGTTTGCTATTTCTCTGCTTAGTAGGTTTATGTCTAATCCTGGAACTGAACATTGGTCTGCATTAAAATGGTTGTTGAGATATATCAATAGTACATCACATATTGGTTTGGAATATTGTAAGAGAGGTAATACACTTGATCTTGTGAGGTATGTAGATTCTAATTTTGCAGGAGACAAGGATATTAGGAAGTCAACTACCTCTTATTTCTTTACTTTTGGTAGAAATTGTGTGAGTTGGAAGTCTCAGCTACAACCAATTGTAACACTATCCATAATTGAAGCAGAATATGTAGCAGTGGCAGATGTGTTCAAGGAAGCTTTGTGGCTTCAAGGAATTCTGTGAGAAGTAGAACTAATGGATGGTGTGGTGACAATATACTATGATAGCCAAAGTGCAATACACTTGAGTAAAAATCCTGTCTACCATGAGAGGACCAAGCATGTGGATGTTCGATTCCATTTTGTTAGAGATTTGGTAGCATGAGGAGTGATTAATCTGAAAAAGGTGGTAACAGAAGACAATTCGACAGATTTAAGTACCAAAGTTGTTACTGTTGCCTAGTTCAAGCATTGCTTGGATTTGTTGTTTATAAAATAGGCAGCAGTAACTGAGCTATGAAGGAATATGTAGTGGATTAGCTGCACTAATGAGATTCTAGAACTGATGGTAGTGTTTTAGGCCTTCAAGGTGGAGATTGTTGAAGTGAAGCCTCAAAACATTATCGCATAGTTCTTAAAATGACTAAGTAGTGCGCTGTCATTTTAAGATGCTTGGGAGAATGCTGGTCGTTGATGGCAATATTGATCCAATGGTTGAGATTTACAGTTCAAGTCAACATTACAAGCAGCCCCAAAAATGTAGAAATAATCAGTCTTCTTCTCTCTTTTGGGAAAAAAATGAGTGCTCTCAATTTTTTTTTCATTTTTCAGCCCAAAATTAGTGTAGCTTCAGTGAGTGAGTGATTAGTTCTCAGTTATTCTGTGAGGGTTGTGTGTTCTCTCAAAGATTAGAGATACCAGGAAGAGTTTTTCCAGATTAGGAGTTACAAAGTGAGTTTTGGTTGTGATTGAGTGAAAGATTGATTGATCTTTGTTCTTGTAAACTGTAAGTTCTTGATTAATTAGTGCAGTGAGCCCTAAATATTCTAGAGCTCAACGTGGATGTAGTTTATCCAATCTTGGATAGGTGAACCACAGTAAAAACCTTGTGTTTGTTCTTGATTGTGTTATTGTGTGGATTGTTTTGGCTGTGTGATTGATTGATATTGGAGATTGATTATTAGGCTTGAATCTTTGCACATAGTATTGAAAACCAATTTCTCATTTATATAAGGTATACCATAATTTCTTATTTGTAAAGGTATAACTCATTTATATTTCGAATCAAACATAGTACTTTCATTGGCAGTTAATGGAGATGAAACAAGATCTATTATAGAAGATAGAACCCAAATTTGACTAATGACCCGATCTAACTAAAAAAGACGAGAAAAATAAAATAAGTGTGTTTGTGCGGCATAACCTGTTCTAATACACATTTCCAATTACATTTTTATGACATCAACACAATAACATCACCTCACTGGCTGTCCAAACTCACTTAAACTTACTCCATTGTCTTAAACACTTGTCCTCCCAATTAAATTTGCCATCTGTCAGTCAAACAATGCTTACTCCCTAGCTTTGTTTTATTCTTCCCTTCCATCTTTAAATACTAAGCAACCAGAGGCACTAATATATAAACCTCATATTCCTTCTTTAACAAAATTTACATTTTATCTCTATTTATGGCTTCTCGATATGAAGTTGAAGAGACCATTTCCTCAGCCAAGGACTTGAAGAACGTCAACTTGCATTATGGCCCGACCAGGCCATACGATGTTGTCTGGGTTAACCCTAACAACAAGTGCTCCACCAAGGTTGATGAGAAGGGCGACGCATGCCCTTTCTGGGACCAGAGACTTGTCATCCCTTTGCCAGGACCCGTTAACGGAGACTCCACTCTATACACCGACGTAGTCCACACTGCCAATGAAGAGGGGACCAAAAAGTTGATCGAATCGGCTCGTCTCAAGTTGAGAGATGTTCTCGATGACGTCGGTATTGGTGAACGTGTCAAGCGTACATTGACTCTCAAAGGACCTTCTGGTAGGCCTCAAGGAAAAGTTGAAGTTAAGTTTAATATCTTAGAGCACTGTTATGCTCCGCTTAGTGTGCATTACACACCCCCTTATGGTATTCCATCTCAAGTTATGATGCGTCGAAGATGAGACTTAAAACCTGTAAATTATTCAAGATGCGCATGCTTCAATGTTTTGATCATAACTTGAGCTGTAGAAATCAGAATTCAATGATTCTTGTGGTGTTGGAAAGCTTATTCAGAGGGCTACAAATTTCTATTGATGACTTTTCCAAATTATAAATATATCAGATTCATGGGACAGAAAAAACTATCATTGTAGTGACCATTTTTGTCGCTGTAGCGATGGAGTGCGGGCCTGATGGGTTGTTTTAGTCCAAATTTGACTTATTTGAGGCATTTAATGCTTTCCTGATTAACCTCCAAACCCTAGCACTATAAATAAGGGTCTTTAATTAGTTTTTAGAGATGAGAGAAGGGAGAAAAAGCAACCACTCTTTGGAGATCAGAATTCAGAGAGTTTTGGTTCACAAATTAGAGAAGTTTTTCTATTTTTCTTTCTTGTTCTCATGTTTGTTGATACAATGGCTGTTTTTATTACTAAAAGTATGAACTAAATTTATTGTCTAGGGCTAAGATGTAGCCCAATTTTATGAATATGCATTGAATTATTTGTTGTTAATTTTTATCAAGTTTTGTTTTAAGTTTTATTATTGCACTTAATGCTTTCAATTCTTAAAGGCCCGAGAGTTGAATGATTTTATGGGTTAGGTTGAGATCGAGAGATGAAACCTAATTAGTCCAAGGTAATAAAACCATTGATTGAGCAAACACTAGAGATAGGTTACCGTGATCTGTGAGGCTTTGGTAAATTCTATAAAACTTAATGATCTCTTAGCTTCTAAATCCACTTTAGAGATATTTTGGGTTGTTGATTAAGGGTTAATTTGATAATTGTTCGACAAAAAATTATCAGCATATTAGGGAATTTGGCTTTTAGAATAAGCTTAATTAGGTTAGCAATAATTGTCAACGTATAGGATTAAATTGATGTGAAATATATGCCCTAGGTTTAGTCATATTGATCTTTTTACCAAAGTATTAATAAAATTCTGCTTTTGTTTAGTTTTTAGTTTGTTTTATTTTGCATTAAATTCTTTCTTAGGGAATTAGATTAATCAAATAGTAATAAGATAGGTTAGTTTGGTACTTGGTAATAGTAGTTCTCTTGGGATTCGACACTCGTTACTCGAACTTTATTACTTGTGCGATTTCGTACACTTGTGAATAGCCTATCATTCACTTATGATGTTTCCACATTTATTTGGTTAAGCACAATTGTATCTATAGTTTACACATAATAAATGTGTGCACATTTCCTTAGTCTGAACTTAGTGTAAATATGTAGACACATTTGCGTCAAATGTGTAAACATTTTACCAGTCAGATCCTTTAGTATAGGTGTCATGTTTTCATTGCTTGTTAGGATATTTTCTAGTTTTGAAATATGCGTGATTGGTCCAATTACAAGTGTGTGATATTTTAGAAGTGGTCCAAGAATGTTGTGCTTTTTTCAAATGTGATCCAACAAAGTTTTTGAAAACTTTCCTTAAATAGCCCAACATTTGTAAGCCTTTGTCGGTTGATTTTCCAAGGGTTTGTTGAGCAAGGATTATATAATGTCTTCTTCATCCTTGCGTTTTTGCTCTGTGAAGTTTCTTAGAGAGTTTATTCTTTGGTCAGGTTCCTTATATGGTTTGGTACTCAAAATACTTTGCTTATGTGTTGTTGTTGAGTTGTTGTTGGAACATGGTTCATTTGACGAAAGCTTGAACACTATGTAGCTAAAAGTTGACTTCGGCCTTGAAGCTTAAGTGGAGCTCGAACTGTCCAGGAGGTTTCTTGGATTCAAGCAACTTGTAGAAGAACATTGGAGCAACCAAAGGGGGGAGTTAGAGTGTTGTGAAACAATGAGCGTTTTACATTTGTTTACTTAATTTCAAGTCAATAATTGACTTGCAAGCCTTTGCTATAGTGGATTTGCTTCGTTTGGACTTGGTCCCATGGATGCAGGTTGTTAGCCGAACCATGTAACAATCCTTGTGTGCTTTACTTTATATCTTTGATGATTGGTATTGTGTTGTTGATGAATGGCCATTCTCACAAGCACAAAATGAACTCAATCAACTTATTTCGCAAGAGTTTAATGAACTAGATTAGTTATAAACTTTTATTTGGTATGAGAGCACGTTATGAAGAGTTATTTCAGTAGATTCATTCTTATTTGAATGCTTTCTATATGTACATAACTTTAGCTACCTAAAATGCCCTTATATTATAATAAGCATAAATTTAAATAAAATGTTAAAATTAGACTTTTAATTTATTTCATTTAAAATATTTTAAAACTACATTATCTTATTAATAATAGATGTAGTTTCTAGTGGCTGGAAATTTTTTTGGCGAACTTTGGCAATCAAATTGGTATCAAAATGATCATATTTTTATACTCTCTCCATCTCTACATTTTTTTTATCAATAGATGTGTCATTGAGTTGGGATCTGACGGAGAAAGTTCGGCTATGGCACTTTCTTCGTCAATCCCAGCCAGAAGCTACCTTTATTTCAATTGAATTTTATATAGCTAGATAGGTTGGTCAAGCAAGATCATTTTGTTATCAATTTTACTTCTTTCAAGCGTTGAAAAATTTTTAGGTCACATGCTAGCGGCAAATTCCAGCGATAGGATTTCGGCAATGGGTTGACCAAAATTCGCTTCTATAATATTTTATTTAACTAACTATATAATAAGGATATATTAGTATTGTTGATGCAAGAATTACACCAACTAGAGTGATCTGATTGACCTTGGTGGAACCGAAACTAATGTGTGTGTGATTAAAGATAACCAGCAATGCAATATGAATGTAAATGTAAAGCAAGTAAAGAACACAAAAGGTTTTTAAAGTGGTTCGGCAAGTTTAGATCCTGAGCCTATGTCCACTATTTTTCTTATTGCTTTGAGAGCTTACAAGGAAGTAGTACTTTACCTATAACAATTTGCTAACCCCTCTTCCATCGTTGGAAGGGGTTTATATACAAGTTTTTTACAAAGGAAAGAGTGAAATTAAAGGAATTACAATCAAGATTAAAGAGCAACTCTGATATTCTCGCGATTGAGCGCTAAGATAGACTATCATTGTTGTTAATCTGATCTCTTCCGAAATATCCAAGATTTGAGCTTATCTGTGACTTGCTTGAACAACTGTCATGATTGGTCACAACTAGCTTATGCTGAGTCGAACAAGTCTTGAGCTGAACTGATCTGGGTTGAGCTATAACCTCACAGAAATCTGACTTCTCTAAGCTTAATGGGAAAATCCCACACAACATCTGCCCCCTAGTGCTTGGTGCTTGTTTCAAGCTACGAAGACTAATTGTTTGATTTGATATTAAGCTTGAACTTCACAAGTTGTACGTTAAATGTAGATTTGGCCAAGCTTCATGAGTCGGACTTAATTTCAGTCAATGTGAACAAGACTTAGCCTTTTTTTTGCTATGACATTCACGACAAACATGGAATTTGAATTGAGGGGCATGCAAGTAATTTTCACACGATCGTGTCGCATTAAATGTTATAGACTTTTGCAGTTACTTTTCATCGTACGTGGGCGACTACAGTTGTCCACGCGAGAAGTCGAGGCAACGTATAGCTATGGTTATGATTGCAGAAGTTTGACGATTGATCACCTTTGTGGATGATCGACATGTGTCCATGTCGAATAGTTAAGATTGCTCAATGAATGGAGGGCTGAGATTTGTCAAAGATCGACGGTCGAGGTTGAATCTCGCCTCTTTGTCTCCTATGCTCACTACTACAAAAGCGGACATCTTTCGTCAGAACTTCATATTTGCAATATGCTCAAGAGTTTATTTGCCTCTTTTTTCGTTGTTGCTTTCTTACATTCATGATGACTTTCTGGCGAACTCCCACCGCATTTTACACTTTGGTAAGGCTTTTTTTCTCCCTTCTTTATTTTAAACTTTCTTTGTTAAGGGTGGCCATTGTCGTGGCCACATTAGCTTTTTTAGGGTTTTTTCAGTAGTTGCACTGGTTTGGGTTTTAGAAGGGTTTAATGTGGTCACTGGAATCCTGGTAGCTTGCTCGTATCTTTTGATTGACACGAGCTGTCTTGGATGCCTAAACTGAAAGCAAAGTGTGGATAGATCATCAAAATTTCGAGCTCTGACACTTGATCGCTTCTCTTTCAGGTATCCAAAGGCACGCTTCCACCATGTCTTCGTCCAATAGCCATAAGATAGATCAACTTTTTGATTCCCCAGCAACCTTGGCTGTTCACCGGGAAGTTGTCCTGAAGGTTTCTAAGGACCTTATTGTAAGGAGCTCGAATAGTGATGTTGCGGGCTCGTCGGACCATGCTTTTGCGAAGGACCCCCACCAATGAGGTCTCTAGTTCCCATGCCCCAGAAGGAACCAAGTTCCTTGATTGGGGTTGATGATCTCGAGTAGATAAAAGATGTTTATGCGACTCAAATTCCATTGAGGGCTTCAAGAGATATCTCCCGGAAAAATCCCCCAACAAGTTAGGCGGCCATTTTAGATACCTTCTTGAGGTGTGGGATGTCCATTCCCCCTCATTATTTCATTGCCAACGTTTTGAATAAGTTTAGCATTGCTCCCTTTCAATTGACAGGGAACTCGTACATAATTATTGTAGGTATGTACATAACATATATGATAGTTGAGTTAGGCGAGCTATTGGTGGAAGAGCTTGTCCACCTGTATAGGCTGAAAAAGATTCAAGACCACACATACTACATAAGGCGAGGAAGGACTACTTTAACAGTTTGGTCAGAGTCCCAAATAAGATTTCGAATTGGGACTCCCAATATTTTTTCTATGAGGCTGGGGAGACTGCCCTTTTGCCTTGGAAGCTAGTAAGACTCCGATCTTTGTGCAAATAAAGAGGGTTTCCAAGTCTAGCTAGCGAACTAACCTTACATTCTCTTTGTTTTGCAGTAAATGTTGAGCAAAACTTCCTCCCTGAAGCTATCTTAGAGCGGCTTCAATGTTTTAGCAATCTTTCCAGCAGTGAGTGTGACGTTACC